ATATAGCAAAAAATAACCAATTGGAACTTGTAACTTTGTACTTTGTATAACTGTATTTATGTTGTCGCTATAATTATGTTATAAGAGAAATTTTGAGAAATGTCATTTTTCGAAAATGCTACGTTTTTCAAAACTGTCACTATTATGATATTATTTTCTCAAAATATCATTTACGTTTGGATTAACTATGTTAAATTAAAGTTTAGTTTTGGGGGTTTATGGTTTGCTAGAGTCAAAAGTCATATTTACAATATAAAATTTTAAGATTTTTGGTTTAATAAATATTTAATTTGTGAAATTTTTGAAAATAAACAACTTATAATAGCATTATTGTGAAAAGATATTTTAAAAGTGGTATTTTTGAAATTCTACTTATGAACAAATAGTGAATTTTGTTTATTCTAAATCCCTAGTCAAAAAGAAAAAATAATGTTTCCTTGTCCCTTTAGTTTTGTTGAATAGCAGTCAAATATTTCCACTAAAAAAAGACAAATTATTATTACCATTTTTCAATTACTATTATGAAAAACCATCTTATTGTGATTTTACTCTTATTAACATTCACATACACTCCAAAAATATATTCAAGATAAACTTTATCATCATTAATACTACTTACTAATTTGATAGTACTCCACTTTGATAGTAATTGTTAAAGCGGGAAACATGTTAAACACGAAAAACTGTGCAATCTTTATATGCCATGTGTTAGTTCGCAATTCCATTTGCCTTATCATTACGTTAATCCCAACAACCAACTACTACTAATTTGTTTTTGTTTTCAAGAGTGGAAACTTGTATATTACTATTGTAAAACTGATAATCATATCAAGGTTGATTTCTTTTAAATAAAATAAAAAATCTCTCAAATTAAAAGTTATTCTAATTGATGTGTCATAAATAAATATAGGGGGTTTTTTTAGCAACCAAAAAAAGAAAGAAATTATATATATGGTGTTTTTTTTGCTTTATAGTACAAATCATTTGATATTTTCAGAAGAAAAAAATAATAATTTTGGATAATATAGAGTTGTAGATTCAGGTTTGCTACGATCTAGTTCTGTCTGAAAAATAGCAGAAAAGAGGAAGACGACACTAAAAGCGTGATCTTCTTCTCCTCTCTCTCTGGTACGGTCAAATCCGATCGTTAATCTTTTTAACCGCGGTACAAAAAAAATTAATAATCAGATTTTAGAACTAATCTCTGCTTTTTCTCTGTCCCATTTCGCTAATCTTTCTAATCTAATCCATTTTTAATTACTCTTTATTAGTC